GGCAAAAAGTCATTTTTCCTGGGGTTCGGGGTTTTTTTTCCCCCCCCCCCCCCCCCCCCCCTCACTTTCCAGTCTCCATCCCAGCAGCGGCTGCTCCTGCACAACATCCAGCAGTTGCGCATTGTTGTCCAATCCTCGCCCGACCACGGCCCGCGCGTATCCATAGTAGCCGCTCAGCAGCGTGTGCCGGTTCTGCACGCCTCGCAAAGTTCGCCCCTGCTCAATAACGCACCAAACCCTTTGGAACCTTCGCAAAACTCTCGTGACATGCTGGACTTTGACCCGGTCTACGCCCAGATCCATGAGGTGGCGCCCGGCCTAGAAAGCCAACGCCCTGGCGAGGCCAAAGTTCTTCAAGACAACTCATCACGTGGCCGGCGTCCCCGCTACAGCAGCGTTGAAAGCGGTGACGTCGATTCGTATCAGGATATCAACCGCAGCTCCGACTCGAGCCCATCCCCATCGGTCCGCGATCTGCACGCGCTGTACAGCACCGTTTCCAAAGGCCCACGCGCCCGACGCACCACTTTTGACACTGCTGATCTCTCCACCTACAACAAGAACAGTCACAACTTCAACGCTCAACAGGTGGGCCGGCACTCCCCAGCCCCATTGAATGGCGCTAGTCGTCGACGTCTGGACACGGATCCCGACTTTGTCAGCCGGCCCAGAGCCTCACTGCCCACCGACCCCAACAACCTGGGAGAGCACGAGCGCAAACACGATCTGCTCATTGATAGTCTGCAATCAGCGAATCGGCATACCAAAACCCTGCTCCAGGCCGCCGAGGGGGCCCAAGCGGACGAATCCTCTTACGTGCCCTTTATTGACGAGGAGGCTCTTCGGGGCAACTACTTTAACGATCAGGCGTCGCGGCACGTGGTGCAAGATCTTGTCCGCCAGCGAGCCCAGCGTGGTGCCTTTGGCATCACTGTACCGGGCTCGAGTGGTGCCCGTAGTAGCCGCCTCCTTCTCACCGTGGCCGTGGCCGAAGAGCGCATCGAACAGCTTCCCATCTTTGTCGCATTCCAAGGTCTTCGTCTTTATGCAGATGGCCCCGCCTTCAGTCGCCTTGCGGTCTTGGTTGAATATTATCGCCACCATCCCTTGCCCTTGTCCGACGTGGCTGAAGATGTGTGCCTCTCAGTGGGTGCCTTTGACCACGCGGCCTTGGCCGACTCCTTGACGCTCGATGCCGATGCCTCTCACCGGCAAACCGGATCTGGCGACTCCCCGCCAGCATGGTTTGTGGGCGAACTGGACACGGAGAGCTGTCAGGCCGTCTTGCGCTACGAACGGGATGGTTGCTACTTTGTGCGACTGCGGCCGCCCTGGCATCTCGAGGTCAAGGACCCCGCCGCACGCCTGCACCAAGTCACTTCCCGTCGTGCAGACGATGCCGGACGTGAGCCCTGTGAGGTGGTCTATCTGAACGGTGGTCAAGTCGGCTTTGCCCTGATTGACATGAGCCCGCTGGGCATTTGCTTGCACGGTCACGAGAATTACCATGAATCGCTGGCCGCGCTCCTCGAGCAGTTGCGCGCCCGCGCCGAGGAACTGCCGGTCAAGCTGACCTACACGCCAGGGGATCTCACTACTTTGGTGGATGAGCGCGCGCGGCGCGGGTCTGTTGATCTGGGCTTTTCGGATCGAGGCCAACACTCCCTGCAGCTGTCTCCACAGGACATGCCACAGCTCCTCAGCACACTGATCCCCGAGGGCTGGCGCGCTCGCTGGTGGCTGGAGGCACCCCTTGCAGTGCAGCGCGCTACGGCCTTGTTGCGCAAGTGCCCAGATGGCACCTTTTTCATCCGACACGGCGCCCAGCTGGGGTATTTTGTTCTGACCTACGTCGTCCACGGCCGGCTGGAGACCGAATCCATCATGGCTTTTAGCGCTTCTCGTAGTCGCCCCCGCCCAGCGGTGTGCGTGGTGCGTGCGAGCAGCCAACACTACAAGACCTTGTCACGCCTTGTCCAGACCTTGTCCCAGCCTTCAAGCCGGGCTCGACAACTGCTGCTCTGCCCGCTGGCCCGCAACGACTGTCTCATGCCGGCGCGTCTCGAAGCCGTCCAGCTCACGCCGCCGGGCGTGAGCAACGTTTTGCAGCAGCCGGTGTCTCGAAAACAAACTCAGCGCCCCCTGTTACAGCCTCCTTCGGACGAGCGGCTCGAGCCTCACCCATCCCAAGAAAGGGAACGATCGGACAGCAATGCCGTGCTCGCCGCAGAGCCTGGGCACTCTGCACCGGCTACGGCAACTTCAACGCCCCCACACTCGCCCATGGCGCGGCGACGCGGCGCTCGGCGCCGTTCACGTAGCCAGAGCAACGATCCGGCTGACCTACCTACCCGGGCCACCAACCGTCCGGCTCGCCTACAGGATATCAAGGCAGTCTCAGCCCCATCGTTGTTCGTGCGCGCTGATCCAGCCCGGCGGAGCAGCTCCATGCACGGAACCGCCTCAGCGGCGGGTCGATCAAGCATGGTGGGCCCGGGTCAGCCTGGAGGGGGGCGTGACATTCAGCGCTCCACTTCTTTGCACGGCACAACGAATGGAGCCGGCGAGGCACCACTCACGGTGCGCGAAATCAAGCCAATTCTCAAAAACACTCGCCATCCATTCTTTCAGAAGCGTTCAAAAACCGACCCTGCGCGGATTGAACGGAGCGTCGCCTTTGCCAACAGTGTCGAGCGGGTGGAAATACCGGCTGTCAGTGATTGGTATTGGTATCAGGCCGGCAAGCCACGCAGCGCGGCCATTCAAGAGCTGGATCACTGTCCGGACGGTGCCTTTATCATTCGACGCAGCGAGTCCAATCCAGCCTGCTTTGCCCTCACTTACAAGGCCCTCGGCCGCTTCTGGGATGAGCTGGTGGTCGTTCCCTCGGGCTCGCTCTATGGACCTGGCATTCACTTTGACTCTGATCCGCGATTGCGCTTTCGCAGTCTTGAGGAGCTTGTGCAGTATTACGCCCAGCCGTCTTCGCCTCTCATCTCGCCTCTCATTGTGCCCGACTCGTTCTTCGACTCGTCCTCGCGTAGCTCACCGGCCCCCTTCGCCAGCGTGGTGCTCCAGCCTCGAGGCCGCGTGCCTTCCTCATCCACTTACGAGACCTTGAATCACGCACGGCAGGGGCTGACCAGCGGGCCAAGCAGCACGAGTTCGTCGCTGACTCGACTCAACACCTTGAACACTGGCTCCACGCATAGCCTATATGAGAGCGCGGCACGAGTTGAGCCTCCACGCGAGCCGCGAAGGGCGTCCAACTTTGAGCTGGGTACACAGCGTTTGGCACTGAAGAAGAACAGGCCCGCAGCACGGGTTGTGCGTGTCCCGCGACAGGCTGCACCGCGGCCGGCGCGCCGGCGCCGCTCGAGCCATGGCACTGCATTAGTGCAGCCGGTGTTGCTAGCCCCACGGCTGCAATCGTATCATCGGTACTCGGCACCAGATCTGAAACCTTCACTGGCTTCTGCCGAGGCCAAATGGCTGGATGGCAAAGCCAAAAACCAGTCTTGGTGTCGTATTCATCAGCCGTCCCACGATCATGAGGCCATGCTGGCACTTTCACCAGAGGGGAGTTTTATCGTGCGCGACCCCGATCTGCAAACCCAACCCCAAGGCATGTCATCCGTGCATGTAGCGACGTTGGTGCTTCGCACGGCGCGTGAGCTCCTCTACTTTCCAGTGTTGCAGCAACATAAAAAAGGTACGTGATTGGGTCGGCAGTCAAGATGCGTCCACAGTGAAATACAGAAGGCCACCATTGAGACAACTCGGCCATCACGAGTCATGATTTGGGGGGTTCTTGTGGTTGCGGGCGCCATTAGGTATCTATATTCCAGGCAGCCCTGTGTGCCAAACCCTTTCCGAGCTCATCAACTACCACAGTCGTCCCGCCAACACGAGCCTGCCCGTGGTCCTGCGGCAGTAAACAAGAGCGGAGCAAATAACCTGTTTGCGGCGCACGTCCTCTCTCCCATTTATTTTTCCTTTTACGGTTTGTTTCATTCAAGACAAGACTCCCTCTTCTTCTTCCGACATACCTCCCTCCTCCTCTTCCAACCGAGTCAACCGGACACTGGACACAGCCAGGCACCACCACCACCACCACCACCCTCCCATCATAAATGGCTCCAGCAATAAATCAGCATAACGGCGGACACCTTTTAAGATTGAGAAAAATGGTTATTGTCGCTTTCTTTGAAGTTTATGTCGTTTTCCACAGCAAGGCTTAACAATTGGCTACAAAGTCGGGTATAGTTGATGCTGAAATGTAGAGAGTTATTGTAGTTGTTGATCTTGCGCCTGTTGTCAACAACAAGTGTGTGTGTGAGAACCCGGCTCAGTGTGTGTGTGCGCGCGCGCGAGAGAGAGAGAGATCGAGATCGAGAGCGCGAAGGCAAGGCCAGGACGCGTCGCTTGGCAGGGAGAGGAGCTTGCTCGGCCGTCTGGGTGGGCTTGGGGACTAGGGCTGAGACAGTCGGGAACGAAAAGGATGCGTGCGCTGTGTGGCCTCGCCGTCGTGGCGCTGTTGGTGGCCTGCTGCCGGGCGCAGCGACGAGCCACGGCCAAGCACGATCTGCCATGGTTTGATCCAACCCTTCCCTTGAGCGAGCGTGTGGCCCTGCTCGTGAACGTACGTCAACGCAGCGCGACTCTGCACCTTCCCATGGCCCTCCCAGCCGAATTATTCAGCATTGTGGGCGAGCTGGCCGGCTCAACGCGGACGTGGCTCTGATGTGCTGGCTTGTGGATAGAACATGACAATCAAGGAGGTGTCCATGCAGCTCTCGACAAACTTTGACACGGCAGCGCCAGCCATTGAGCGGCTGGGGGTTCCTTCTTATGATTGGCGCAACAACTTTTTGCACGGGCTGGTGGACAACGGCATTGCCACCATGTTTCCCCAGGCCATCGGTCGGTAGTAGCCGCCTTAGTCTTGGCCCATTTCCCAGATAAATCGTGCACAGATTTCGTCTTGGTCTGATGTGCTCTTCGTGGGCTGTGCCGTTTCTTTTACTGCGACCATGTACTTGTTGTCCTGCTTCACCGACGATGGGCTTTTAGGCTTGGCCGCAACTTGGAGCACCGAGCTGCTGACTGCCATCGGTAAGATGCATGCGAGTGTCTCACGGCAGGCTCAGTCCTTGTTTCTCTGGTGGCTACGGTCTCCTCACTTTTGACCGGTTTTACGCTGCACAGGCCGCGTCGGTGCCGTGGAACAGCGGGCTAAATACAACATCAACAAAACCGCAAACGGCGATGTGCCAATGAATTACGGCCTCAACGTTTGGCAAGTCGCTGGTCACGAGTCTAGCACATTAGTCAAGCCAAATCGTTCGTCTAATGCATGTCGGTGCTGTCTGCTACGCACGCTCTACCAACGCATAGGGGTCCAAATATCAACATCTTTCGGTATGGGCATGTTACTCTGCACACCAACCCCCTCCCCCCGCCCATGCTAGCTTCAGACTTGATCTTGACAATGTTGGATGCTCTCATGCTTCCTCGGCTAACATCTCTCGATGCCCATCGCGTTCGCCTATGGGTGGCAACATCTGCCTGTTTTTGTTGCCCACTTTGGCCGTAGTGATCCTCGTTGGGGGCGGTAAGGCTTCTCGTCTGGTCGTTAAGTAGCTGTGCCCACCGACATTTGCATGATCAATCAATGTAATCTCGTCTTTTCACAACAACGGCGTGCGGACTTTCTATAGCGGACAAGAGACCTATGGTGAAGATCCGGTGCTGACCGGCACGCTTGGCGTTGCCATTGTCAAGGGTATGTCTCACGATGCGTTTAAAAATCGCCCCACCCTCGGTGGCTCCCGGCAATCGCATGCCTTTTTCATCGTCGTGTCAACAACGGGCCATTGCGCCTGCAACTTTCCGCCTGATCATAGGCCTACAAACGTTGCCGGATAGCGCCGACTACCTCGCTTTGGGCGCCACCCCCAAGGTTTGACAGTGCTCGCAGGCGGCCGAGCCATGGCGACATCTGCTGATCATCAGCCTCTGTGTTTTGCATGCGGCTGCTAGCATTTCGTCGCATACTCGTTGGACAAGACGCCGCCACGCTTGTCGTTTGATCCAACCATCAGCATGGTGGATCTGCGTCAAACATATTTCCCTGCCTTCAAGGCCGTGGTGCAGGAGGGCCGCGCTACTAGCTTGATGTGCAGGTTTGTCATTCTTACAACTCACAAGGCGGTTCACATCTGCTGGATCGCATGTCTGCGTGCACGTGCGACCAACGTGTGCAAACCGCTTTCCATGACGTCGGCGCTTGCATCACGCACACTGCCCCACAGCTACAATGGTGTCAACGGCTATCCCATGTGCGCCAGTCCCATGCTGGATCTGATTGTGCGCAATGAGTGGGGCTTTGATGGATTCTTCACTTCAGACTCGGACGCCATTGTCTTCTTCGTTTCGGAGCAAAACTACTCAACCAACACGATTCACGCCGCTGCAGCGGCATTGAACGCCGGTGTTGACCTGAATTCTGGACCGGCTTACTTGGAGCTGCACGACGCCTACGAGCATGGCCTTGTCACTGAACAGGCCCTGCGTACCTCCGCAGAACGGCTCTTCACCTTTCGTCTTCGCACCGGCGAGTTTGATCCGGATGAGCTCGTGCCATTCTCCTCATATGACGAGCGCAACATCTCCTCACCGGTGCATCAGGCTCTCAATCTACGCGTGGCCGAGGTGGGCGTGGTGTCTGCCCTTTTCGATACAGCCTGCGGCGGCGTTCCTGTAGTCAAACTCACCTGAGGTCGCGCTGCGATTAACATGAACGTGCCTTGTAGGAATCGCTCGTGCTGCTCAAGAACTCGCAAGACGTGTTGCCCTTGGATCTGGCCTCGCTGAAGCACGTGGCAATCATCGGTCCGAGTGCCAACGATACGCAGGCAAGCGATTGGTAATTTATCTCTTCTCGCCCGCTCACCTTCTTTAACGAGTCCGGGCGCTTGCTTGTATCTGGTTTGTGTAGGACCTGTTTGGAAACTATTTTGCATGCAACGACGTCCCCGCTGGTTCTTCCCAATGCCGTTTCGTCAATATTCTCGAAGGTATCACACGGGCGTGCCCCTTGAGCGTGCCAATCTGCAACAATGTGGCATGGCGTTTTCTGGCAACACGGCTGGCTTGGTACATCGTTCAAAACTCAGTTTGTGCTGGCATGTGGCAGGCCTGTCCACAACGCTCGCCACCAACAACGTGACGTTCACTTTTGAGGAGGGCTGCGACATTGAAAGCAACGACACATCACGCATCCCGGTCCGTGCTATGTGATGGTGTGCTGCAAATGCTTTAGATGGCGTTCGTGTAGCAACCCTTCATTTTGCGGCCCACCACTTATAACTCGCGTGTTCGTAAATCCACAGGCTGCCGTTGAGGCGGCGCGTCAAGCAGATGTGGTGTTCCTGGTCTTGGGCTTGCACGTGTGTACGGAGCATGCCAACACGCCTTACCACAACGCTGAATGCGAAGGCCACGACCGAGAATCTATCGGCCTTCCGGGTATCATACGCCGTACTTCCCGCCTTGACCTCGATATCTTTGATTCAGATGCGGACAGCGCCTTGGTCGGCCACAAAGTGCCCAACCTCATCTGATGCTTGGGCGGATCATGGTTACTTTGCACGGCAGGCGTTCAAAAAGAGCTGGCGGAGAGCATTTTCTCAGCTCACACGCGCGTCATCACCATTTATGTCAATGGCGGCCCTGTCGCCAGCCCCATCGTAGCGGAGCGCTCTGCAGCATTGCTCGAAGCCTGGTAGGATATGCGCAAAGGCACCGCCCTGCACGGCCCTGGGCACTCCTTGGAAACCGCCAGCTTCACCAATTCCAGGTCCGCTGCCCTCACTTAAAACGTGATGTTGACAATAGGTATGGCGGCCAACATGCAGGCACGGCCGTTTCGAATATCATATTTGGCAAGGTTTCGCCTTCGGGTCGCTTGCCATATCTCGTACCTCCTTCTGACGAGGACCTACCTGACATTTTGTCCATGACAATGTCCGATTTCCCGGGACGCACGTATCGGTACGCAATCACTTGGCGATATCTCTGGCCCCGCTCTCACTTGTTTGCGTACTCGATGGTTTTCCCGTCGACTGCCCGATCTCTTGCAATCTGAATTGGCGGACGTTGCTCCCTGGCTGGCAGATACTTTCAAAACGACCCATTGCACGACTTTGGGTTTGGCCTGAGTTACACCCGCTTTGAATATGCGGCGGCTACCATGGCACCGCTCACGTTCAACCTGACCGAGAACCTGAAGCCGCAACTCAAGCTTGAGGTGACCGTGCGCAATGTCGGAAAACGGGCCGGCAAGGAGGTTGTGCAAGTGTATGCTCGTCTGCGCCAAACCACGGCTCTTCAAGAGCGCTATCCCTCGATCCCCTTGCGCCAGCTCCTGGCCTTTACCAAAACCGGTTTGTTTGTTGAAGCTCATGCCTTCCATCTTGGCGTGCTGAATGAATGTTATAAGAACTCATTGTGAGATCGCCGATGGGTTCCACAGGTGAATTGAAGACCAGTGCGGAGGAGCGCATCAAGCTTGAGATTGTGCTCAGCCCCCTGCAATTGGCGAACGCCCACGGCGAGCTTGAATATCCCGAAGGTGTCTATGACGTGTTTGTTGGGGGAGTGGCACCCCCGCGTGCTGGTGCTCCCGAAGAGCTGACACGTTTTGTCCTGCGATTAGAGGGAAGCGAGTTTTGAGGCATCATGCCATTCTAAACTCATTCCTGTTGGAGAGAGTGAATGCAAAAAGAAAAGAAAGTTGGAATTTGATTTCAATTCTGTGTCACCTTTGATCTGCCTCTCTTCTTGTCGAGAATCAAGAATAATTGACGCCACCGTGTATCGTGACGAAGCACGCACAGCCACCAATCAGCGGGGAGGGAAAGGGCAAACTTTACAGGATGGATGGTGGAACCATGCCCATCGATACTTGTCCCGAAATGAATGATTGATCTGCACACAACCGGCCATACAGCATGCCATAGCAGCATTTACTTGTAGTCAAAGTCAATCTCGCCACGGTTGGGGGCGGAGCCGGCCGTCACGTTGTAGCCAAGCAGGCTGTTGTCAAGCTTCTGGAACTGCTTTTTCTTCTTGGTTTTCTTCTTAGCCTTGGCCTGCTGCTCCCAGCTGTCGTCCATGGGCGGCTTGGGCTTGACAATGCCCTTGGCGACGGTGCCGCTCATGGCGGACACACGGTTCTTCATGAACTCATGGGCAAACTTGCGAACTTGGTCGGGCTTGCTCGACATTTCCGACAGATAATCAATCACCTCGGATGTTGAGCCGATATCTAGGAGGAAGGATACAAAGGTCTCCGGATCCACCTCCGTGTTGACAATCTTGACAAGCTCCTTCTTGCACCAAGCCAAAAAAGAGGGCTGGACCTGGGCCAAACTTGTGCCAACCTGCATGCCGGCAGCCACAGGAGCCGCTGACGACCTATAGATGGACCGGCAGCAGAAAAAAAAAAGTGTGAGCCGCAACAGCTGATGCCGGAGCCACGTCGGTTCGGCAAACAAGAATCAACAACGAGGGTTAGGTTGAGCAAAGTACAGGAAAGCACACGCACTTGGAGCCCTTGGGTTTGCCACTCGTTGCGGCCGAGTCTTGGCCAGCAGACATCCAGAAGGAATCTGCGTCATCCTTATGCACCTTAACGGCCTTCTTGGGTGCCGCGGCACTAGCGGCCGCGGGACGAGCAGTTGTGGCCACAGGGGCAGCACCTCCCCAGGCGCGTGAGCCACCAGCGGAAGCCTTTTGAGCCCATCCAGAGGACGGAGGGAGCTTGGCTGGAGCCGGAGAGCGAGGCGTGGCCGCTGCCACCGCTTGCTGCTGCTGTTGCAGCTGCTGCATACGCTTTTGCTCTTGCGCTTGACGCTTGCGGAGGGCAGCTTCTTCCTCCTCGGCAATTTCGGCCAACGACTTGGGCTAAAAGTTTAAAAGAACAACAACAACAACAACAGCATAAACCCAAGCCCCAAACCCGCATATCATGAGCTATCGGCACGAGCACTGGTATAGATATAATCCGTGTGCCACTCACCTTGGTGTTGAAGGCTGCAGGGGAAGAAGGTGCGGAACCAGGGTTTGAGGCCCAACCACCCTATAAAGCAGCGGTGATACATGAGTTGCACGAAGTAGTGTGCACGCGAAGCAGAGGCCAAGCACGACCACCAACACACTTTGGGCAAAGTGGCTTGCTGGCTGGCCGCTGAGGCAAGAGCGGCATTGCGAGCCGCAATGTGTTGTTGCGTAATGACATCCTCTTGTTTGCGGCGCTCAGCCAGACGCTATGTTCATCAAAGGAGCAAGGGTAAGACACAGTGAGCGGACCCACGACTATCCACAGAGAAAGGACGTGTACTTGCAACACTATCCAACATGGAGTGTGTGCAAAAAGAGGCGCTCATCGGCTTTCGGGCAGATCACGATAGACCACTTACACGCTGTTCCTGCTCCTCAATGTCGCGAAGGCTGGCCGCGGAAGAGGGAGTGGGGGGAGCCCCCCAGCTGGAGTGTCGGGCCTTTGTAGGCGTGGTTTTGGAGGACACAGTCTTGACCAAGGCATCCTGAGCACGACGCTCGGCCTCTTCCTTTGCGCGAAGCTCCTGCTCCTGGCGCGAGGCCTCCATCTGCTCGGCTTGAATATCCAAGAGCGAGAACTTGGACTTGGACGCAGAAGCACTGCTCTTAGCCTCCTCCTTCTCAACCTTGGCCTTGGCCTTGGTCTTAGTGGACTTGGCATCCTTGTCTTTACCCTTGGCGGCCACCTTGGCATCCTTATCCTTGCCCTTGGCGGGGCCAGACTTGCCACCTGCCTTCTTCTCAGTCGGCTCGCCTGCAGCGGCCGCTTCGCCCGGGTTCTGACCAACCGGAGCAGTCGACTTTGAATCAGAAACGCCAACTGGGGCTGAAGCTGGGGGCTCGGGGCTTGGGGTGCGAGCCGGAGCTGCCGATGAGGGCAATGACACCGTGCCCATGCGCAAACGGGCCTCCTCTTCCTCAAGTTGACGGGAGCGTTGAAGAATGTTGTCGTCGCGCTCCTGCAGTTGGGTGTATTGGGAGCGGATTTGATTGGCCTGCTCGCTGATTTGGGTGGCGCGTTCGTGGAGTTGCTGGATTTCATTGGCATCCTGACGGGCCTGAGCCGCTTCCAGATGCGCGCGCACCTGGTGGTACATGTTCTTCAACATTCCCATGCGCTCCTGGTATTGACCGGCGAGGCGATGAAGCTCCTGACGTTCACTGGCCAGCTGGGTTTTCTGCTGCTCAAGAATACTAAGTCGCTCGCGCAACACTGCTTGGGCCGGATCCATTGGCATGAGATTGGGTGAGTCACCGCCCATGGGGCGAATGTTGACGGCAGCAGCCTGAGCCGCAGCAGCGGCCTTGGCCTTGGCCTCCTGCTCGGCGCGAATGCGTTCACGCTCGAGATCTTCACGGTCCACGCGAGCACGCTCCTGCTCCGCCCAAGCTTGCTCAGCACGCTGCTGTTCGAGTTGCTTTTGGAGACGCTCTTGCTCAACCAGGCGCTGCTGCTCTTGCTCAACCAGGCGCTTGCGTTCGCGTTCAGCCTCTTCCCGGGCGGCCGCCTCGGCGGCAGCCGTAGCCTGACGCTCCCGATCGAGGCGCTCTTGTTCGAGACGTTCCTGTTGCAGGCGTTCCTGTTGCTCGAGGCGTTCCTGCTCAAGGCGTTTGGCTTCGTTGATATTGGGGTCGGGCATGTTGAAAAGAGTGTCGGGCACGGGCAGACTAAAAGGATTCGTTTTGTGAGCGTCGGAGATGTCGCGGATAGCACCCAGGGTGGTGTACATTGTGTCGCTCTCGCGTTGCAAGATGAGGTCGTCGCGCAGGTAGTTGTTGTTGAACCAGTCTTGCATGCGCGCGCCTTCAAACGGTCCTTGCTTTTGGAATTGATCATCAAGGTAAACCCACTTGACATCCTGTAGGCTCAGAGTGGGAGCTGAGGGCCGAAGGCCGGGTGGGGGTGCCGGAGCGCCGGCAGCCGCACGCTCAGCCTCTTGGGCACGAGTGGGTCGGAAATTACCATTGGCATCAAAATCACCCTGTTCATTGACATCATCCCAAAGATCAGCATCAAAGGCGGAGCGATCGTCGTAGCGGGAGCTGCCAGTGCGTTCACGTGGTTGGCGAGCGCGACCAAACGAATCCGCTAGTGCAGCATCACGGCTGTTACGATAGCCACCAAAGCTTTCAAGCGTTCCTCGGGTCGAGGACGGTTT